GCCCAGGCTGGCCTCGAACTCACAGAGATCCGCCTGGCTCTGCCTCCCGAGTGCTGGGATTAAAGGCGTGCGCCACCACCGCCCGGCTTCTTTATTTTTTTTAATTAAGAAATTTTTTTATTCATTTTACATACCAATCACAGATCCTCCTGTTCCCTCCTCCTGCCCCTCCAGCCTTCCCCCTCCCCAACCCACCCCCATTCCCTCCTACTAGAAGGTAAGGCCTCCCATGCGGAGTCAGCAGAGCCTGGTACATTCAGTAGAGGCAGGTCCAAGCTCCTCCCCCTGCCTCAAGGCTGTGCAAGGTGTCCCACCATAGGTAGTGGGCTCCAAAAAGCCAGCTCATGTACTAGGGATGGATCCTGATCTCACTGCCAGGGGGGCCCCTTAAGCAGATTAAGCTACAGAACTGTCTCGTTTATGTAGAGGACCTAGTCCAGTCCTGTGGAGGTTCCACAGGTATTGGTCTATATTTCATGAGTTTCTACTAGTTTGGTTTGGTCATCTCTGTAGGTTTCTCCATCATGATCTTGATGCCCTTGCTCATAGAATCCCTCTTCTTTCTCTTCAACTGGACTCCTGGAGCTCAGCCTGGTGCTTGGCTGTGGATCTCTGCATCTGCTTCCATCAGTTACTGGGTGGAGGCTCTATGATGACAGTTAGGGTATTCACCGATCTGATTACTGGGGTAAATAAAAAAAATTATAAAAAAAATAAGCCTCTGTGCATGGTTTATTTGGGAGCTGGGTGGTGGGCCCCTCAAAAGAGCAAAAACAACCACCCCCACCAGTGGAATGAGAATAGATGAGGACTTTCACTGTGGTCGGCTCCTAGAAGACCAACTTCATGGGAAGATAAAATCCAAGTGTTGAATTCTCATTAGTAATTATTTTATACTTTAGACAGTTTGCACAGAGCAACTTTACTTATTCATGTGCACTAAGTACACAAAGGCTTTAGCAAAACTTATTAGTACTGTCCACAAGTTCTTTCAGAATAAAGTGGACCACCCACAGGGAAAGTGACCAATCCCAGCTCGACAGGAAAGAATGCTTGAGTGTTCTATCTGCCAACTTTTAAATATTAAATTTTAATTTAAATATTAAAATATTTATTGACTATTAAAATATTAATATTTTATCATTTAAATTATATTTAAATATTATCAAATATTAGATATTTATCATTTAATATTTATTATTAGATATATTAATATTTATTTAATATAATTTATGTACAATTATATAAATTATATAAATTAAAAATTTATATTAAATATTAAAAACTGGCCGGGCGGTGGTGGCGCACGCCTTTAATCCCAGCACTCGGGAGGCAGAGGCAGGCGGATCTCTGTGAGTTCGAGGCCAGCCTGGTCTCCAAAGCGAGTTCCAGGAAAGGCGCAAAGCTACACAGAGAAACCCTGTCTCGAAAAACCAAAAAAAAAAAAAAAAAAAAAAAAATATTAAAAACTGGGGACTGGGGAGATGGCTCAGTAGTCATTTTTATTTTTTTATTTTATGTGTATGTTTGAGTGTTTGCCCACATGTATGTATGTGTACCCAATGAGGCCAGAAGAGGGTGTCATATGCCCCAGGTAACAGACAAATCATGAGTGCTGGGAACTGAACTGGATCCTCTACAAGAGCAGCCACTGCTCTTTACCACTGGGCCATCTCTCCAGCCCCTAACCTGCTCTTTTTAAAAATCATTCATTCTTCAGCCAAATCGTTAGAAAAATCCTAAGTGGCCCTGGACAAAGTACACAATATTGTCTGCAGCTTTTCTCAAAGACTGACTGAAAGGATCGTCTCATGAAGATTGCTTCTGCATCTCAATGAAGGGACTTTTAAAATCTGAACCCTGCATGAGTCACGTCACTTATGGGGAAATTAAATGCCAGTGTGCGTGCATTTCTTTATTTACTTGTTCTCTGTTCCTTGAAAAGCAATGAGTCCCTCTGCTACGAAGCGGGGGCCATAATGGGAAGGAGGACACAGGTGCTGTCCACAAATAATTCATAACGTAAGCGGGAAATGGGCAAGTAAATCGGCAATTAGATGGTAATGGGCTGCACAACGCACCGTGAGTGCTTTAGAAGAGCACCCGACCCTGACTGCCTGACTGACCGCAGGCCCAGGCTGCACTGTGGGAAAACAGGGGGTAAAGGACAGCGACTGGAAATCTATGAGGAGAACTGGAGACAGAGGAAGCTGGGACGGGAAACAAGCTTACGGGGACCGCAGTCAGAGAGAAGAGGGAACAAGTGTTTCTGGGAAATTGCAACGAGCTCAACATGGATTCATCAGGATGGGAGTGCAGACAGACGAGGCTAGAAGGTCCAAAGGACACACGCCAAGTCACGAGGGGCCTGAGAACCCTGACAAGTGGTGGGCTGTCCACTCCGGTCAAGGGACACGGAGAAATCAAGCCAGCACAGAGCAGGAAGCTTCCTCTCCGCTGGCTGCGGGGGGTCTCAGAAAGGAAGACTCGGGCCCTTCGAGCGCTCTCGCTTCCTGTCTCAGCACGGTTTCTCCCTCACGCCTGTGCTCCAGTCCTGATGCCACCCTCCATGTGATGCCACCTGAAGGCTGCCACCAAAGCCGAGCAGATGTCGGCCAAACTTCTGTACTTCTGAAACGGTGACCTAGAGAACCCTCTTTGGGTTAGAAGTTACCCAGGCTCAAGCGTTTTGTAAGAGTGACATGCAAAGAGCCTGAGACAGAAGCGTTCCAAACGCAGGTATTATAAAACAGGAACGAAAGACCCTGGTCCTTCACACGCTTACACACTTTATACAATACTGCTTGGCACACCGTGAACATAAATGTCTGTGGTTGGTACCCAGTTAATGCCCTCCTGAACACCGAATGGTAAAGACTGCAGCAATAACAGAAAAGATTAACTGCTCAATTGATTTACCCATAAAAAATCAAATTAAAATCTTTCCCCATAGAGTTCAGGCAGGTGCTTCATTTAAGACGATTGATTTTTTTTTTAGCTATTATTTAAAACCTATAAATTCTACACAAATACTATTTAATTGCCTAAGTCTAAGATTCTACTTTCTTATTTCATCAAATATGATTTATTAAGCACTAGATAATTTAAAGGTTTAATGACTTATTTTTTTCTGAAATTAAAATCTATAAGCGTTTTTTTTCCATCTAAAATGACAGTCTAGCCGGGCGGTGGTGGCGCACGCCTTTAATCCCAGCACTCGGGAGGCAGAGCCAGGCGGATCTCTGTGAGTTCGAGGCCAGCCTGGGCTACCAAGTGAGCTCCAGGAAAGGCACAAAGCTACACAGAGAAACCCTGTCTCGAAAAACCAAAAAAAAAAAAAAAAAAAAAAAAAAAAAAAAATGACAGTCTAAACCAGTTGGTAGTCTAGAATCAAGCATTAATTCAGGGAGATTCTTACCAAGTATGCTGACCTGAATTTTACATTACTCCTTCAGAGGATAAGCTACTCTTTACTATGAGTTCTGTTCATATTTCTCAAATGTAATGTTTCCTTTTCTACTGAAGGAACAACCACCATCTAAAGAGTGCCCATGCCGGAACCGGTCTCAGCCCTGCAGACCATTTCTGCCAGTGTGGAAAGAAAATGTTTAAAACAGTTCTCTCTGAACCCAGGGGCTCCACATCCGTGGACTCCACCCACCACAGATGAAAATATATTTGTTGAGTTTTATTCTTTTCATCATCCTGTAAAGAACACAATATAAAACCTATTTCTAGCAAGGCATAGTGGCACACACTTGCAATCTTATCATCACTCTGGAGGAAGGGGGAGGAGTTCTAGAAGCCACACAATCAGATCCTCACCTTGAAAGAGGGATTTCCATAGCATGGAAATGATCGGGAATGGATTTCAAGCTGGCGGGAGTGTGGGCCCAGGACACACGCCAATGTCACATTTTATCTAAAGGCCTTGAGCACCTGCAGGGGTTTCTGGACCCCACCCTTCAGGGATTAGTAGAGATGCGGAGACAAGAGATGGCTCACTCACCCGCCTCCTCCTGTGACGTAGCTGTAACCACCTGTGCCCAGGCCGTAGCCATAACGCTCACCCAGAAACACCGCATCCCGGGAGTCGTAGCAGCTAAGCAAACGTCGGAGCCTGGAGATGCTGAGGAGCAAAGAGAGGACTTACTTAACTCTGATGTGGCTTCAGAATGGGGCGTTTAGCAGTGGAATTCAAGAATGGAATAAATGGATTTTAAAAAATGCCTCCCCCCCCCCCATATGAACACTCTACATTAGAAGAGAAGGCGAGATGTCAGAGGCGCCCTCCATCCAGTTTGAACTGAGCCTTGCCAGTTACCCTCGGGGCAGCAGGGTGGCAGGGGATGACTAAAGGTAGTCAGATTGCTGTAAATCTCCTCTGCCAGGCTGTTTCCAAGTGTCACTCAAACCTCACCTCTTCTCCAATGACAAAGTTGTTTTAACTCTTGATGGCCAAAATAAAAGAGAGAGAGCTTCCGAAGGGCAAGTAGGCTTGGGGGTTTCCTGTCAGGCTGGGGCCAGCTGGGCTAGCCGGGTTCCCCCACAAACCTCGGAGTGTGCTGTCTTTCCTCAACAAGGCTTCCCAGGGAATGAGCTACGGTCTGCATGTGCATCCCCTGAATACCTGGGGGCCCACCCGTCCTCACACAGTGTCGACGAGAATGACACAAGCTGTAAACACAGCTGCAGTGAGGTGAACAAACCCGGTCGTGGGAAAATAAGACAGAAAACTCCCTTTTAAAAGCCAGCAGGCAGGCTGATGTAACAAAGGCAAGAGCTCCCCTGTTTTCAAGCATTAGACCATTTTGAGCTGGGTACGGTGGGTCATGCTTTTAATCCCAGGAGCTGTGAGGCAGGGATAGGCAGACCTCTGAAAGTTCGAGGCCAGCCTGGTCTACACAATGAGTTCTAGGCTAGCTAGAGAAGAAAGATAGGAAGGAAGGGAGGGGAGTGGAGGGAAGGAGGGAGGGAGGGGAGTGGAGGGAAGGAGAGAGGGAAGGAGGGAGGGAGGGAGGGAGGGAGAGAGAAGGGGGAGAGTGGGAGGAGGGAGAGAAAAGAAAACCAATGATAACATTACAAATGCCTTCTGGAGGCCTCCTCTACTCTAGAGAATTCCAGCTCATTCTCCACCAAGTCTTAACTTTCCCTTATAACATTGGCCAGTGATCCTTAAAACTAGTTTTTGCATAGCCCATAACTTTGGGTTAAAATGTTAAAGGGCTAAACTTCAAGATGCCTCTGAGACCCTGATCCATGAGCTCAAGGGCTCTCAGGTGGGTAGCACAGGCTCCGGACTGCATCAGAACACTGCCAAGTGAATACGGGAGTAGCAGGTGTCCCAGACACTCACTGTCCCCCCACTTGAGAGGAGTCGCGGTGATGAGGAAGAAAAAGCCAAACATACAAGAAGAATCCATCCATCACCCTTTCTAGACACTGCATAGAAGGATAGATAGATAGATAGATAGATAGATAGATAGATAGATAGATAGATAGATAGATAGATGATAGATTAGATAGATAGATAGATATAGATAGATGATGGATAGATAGATAAATGATGATGATAGAGATATATAGATAGTGATGATGTAGATAGATGGATAGAAAGATGATAGAGAGATAGATAGATAGATGATAGATGATGACAGATAGATAGATGATGAAGATAGGTAGATAGATGGATGGATGGATGGATGGATGGATGGATGGATGGATAGATAGATAGATGATAGATAGATGATAGATGATGACAGATAATGATGATGATTGATATAGATAGATAGATAGACAATGATAGATAGATAATGATGATGATTGATATAGATAGATGACAGATAGATAAATAATAATGATGATGATGTAGATAGATGGATAGATAGATGACAGATAGATAGATAGATAGATAGATAGATAGATAGATAGATAGATGGGTGGATGGATAGACAGACAGACAGACAGATAATGGTAAAGCTGTGAGTGGGGAAAGCAACTTTACTGTATAAGGACGAGACAAAAGCAGCCACAAACCCCCCACACAAGTGTGCGCTCCGGGGGATTACAAGTTTATAGGCAGGTTTAGAACATCTGGAAGCCATGGCCTTTGCTGATGTTGGCACTTTCTGAGTGAGCATAAAACATGTTCTGTTTTTTGGCATGAAGGTTATACATTCAAAGCACACCTAATTTGGAATCTGTCTTCAAGAAGCCGTCTGAGAAACTAATCTGTATGGGGAGGCTGACTGTGTTTGCTGATGGAGGATCCACACTTGGGGATTTCCAAGGGTTCTGTCTGTAAAAGGCCAAAATCCCCCAAACTTTCTAGGGAAAAACAGGAATTGCTTGAGCTTAAAAAGACAGGGAGGGGGGGCTGGAAAGTTGGATCAACACTGAGCACCGGCTGCTCTTTCAGAGGACCTGGATTCGGTTCCCAGCACCCACATGGCAACTCCCAACCACTTAACTCCAGTTCCAGAGGATTCAGCGCCCTCTTCTGACCTCTACAGGCACTGCATGCGTGTGGTGCACAGACGTACATGCAGGTAAAACACTCACAGACATAAAATAAAACATTTTTACAAATTGTAAAAATTTAAAAAGAGAGAATTACTTTTCTCTTCTTCCTACATATTGTGAAATTATCAATTCCACCTACAACATTCCGTATTTTAAGGTTGAAGTGATTTAAGATTCCTCTGGGCTGCTTCACCATGCTGCTTCACGGCTCAGAGACCACGAGTGGAGTCTGATCATTATCACCCACTTCACATCCACCCCAGAGTGGGAATGCGGATGAAGCACACAGATTTCAACTCCATCTATGGAGATCTGGCCCAGGAAAAGCATTTCACTTAGCAATCTGTTCCCATTTCAGGCACTTCTGAGTCTTAGCCATGTAGGAAAACAGCATGTCCATGCTCTCCAGCGAGTCCCGCCCGTGCTGAATGAGTAGAGCCTGGCAGTGCAGCGGATTTCACCGGCAGAACACCGAGCTTTCAACACCAGAGGATGCTCCGTTCTGGCCTATTATGGGGCTGCATTTTATAATTACAGAAAAGTTACAAAAAACAGGATGAAAGCCCCAAGGGCCCTTTCCCCAGATTTACCAATTATTCCCATTTACTCTAGGGTCTCATTTACAGGCTGTCCTCTGAGTATATAAAAACCAACACACAAGCACGCACTCTGGACATTTTTCCACTCTCCTGCAAGTGCATACATTAGACCCTCCCCCAACCATCCCACTATGCTTCCTAAGGGCAGAAAAAGTCCTCATCTTGAGGACCTTTAGCATCGACATGACACATTTCTTTAGAAAAGCAGCCATTCTGCCTCTACAGGTTTCACCAAGAGAAATGAGAGCAAGACTACCCTGAGACTTCTATGTGAAAATACACAGTGGGGGGCCTGAGCAACGGCTCAGCAGTTAAAGGCACTTGCTGCTCTTGCAGAGGACCAGGGTTCGAGTCCCAGCACCCACATGGTGGTTCACAAACATCTGTAACTCCAGTTCCAGGGGATCTGACGCCCTCTTCTGGCCTCCATGGGCACTGCACACATATGGTATACATATACAGATACAGGCAAAACACTCAAACATATAAAATTAGATAAATAAATCTTTTAAAAAATAAAATATATAGTAGCTTTAATTATATGACTTGAAATCAATGCACTGAAGCAATGTATCTAAGCTAACTACTAATTCTAATTTTTATGAATTGATATAATAATGTCATTTATAGCACTTCCCCCCGACCTTGCATTTTTCTTTGGCTGGTAATTATTGTCATATCATTGAATGTCTATATTTTTCTTCTGCAGTGTCTAATTTGCTGTTAACCCTGCTCAAAAGGCTTTTAAAAATCCTTGATAATAGTTTTCATGTCTATAAGATTATATCAGACTTATAGAGTACACCTTCCATGCATCCCCTTTGAAATATGAAATAGTTGTGATGATTATTTAATAACAATATAATAACTAATGCTAACAGTATCAATTCTGGGACAGTGTCCCTGGGTTAGGGTACCTCAGTCTGCCCAGTGGCAACAGGGACTGTTGAGTACCCTGCGTGAGTGCCCACTATCATTCCCTCTGATCATTTCGGTGGGTTCTGTCCCAGCATCTAGAAGCTTCCTCACACAGATGTTCTACCCTACCGAACACTTGAGGAGGGCCCTCTGCAGATGCCCACGGTTGTCTTTTTGGACATCCATCTCTTTTCTAGTTCTACGCCCTGCAAACTCTAACAGTCTTGGTCTCCTGAGACTCTCAGCTCCATCTCTTTTAACATACTCTGTGTGTAGGTTCCAGCTGGTGCTCCTCCCCTAACGATGGCTGAGCACGGCCAGAAGGCAGTCAGCGGGGCAGTGACCTGCTTCACGTCGTCGCCAGATGTTCAGGATTTTAAAACCACCCCATCCCTGCTGCCCCGCCATCGCCAGAAGCAGCCAAGCCTGTCACAGCCGTCAGAGCCAGTCCCCGGAGGAGGAGGACTCTCACCTGATTAGCGTGTCGTCATCCACAATGACTAACCATGCTATTTTGTCATGGCTGCGATTCAGAAATCTTTCCAAAATAGCAAACGTCTTTCCACAATGACCTAGGAAAGGTAAGAAGAAAACTGTAAATGTATTATTTGCTCTAAATACACAGCATACATTTATTATTTATTTAGTTTGAATTTTAAAGTGATTGATTCGAGCCTGAATGCTGATATGCACAATAATGACCTGGAATGTCCCCAGAAATTAGCCTCCCTAATTCTCACGTAAGCTGAATTAAGCCCTTTCCTCCCTACATTTCTTCTGGCCGTGGTGTTTATCACAGCAAAGGAAACTCTTAGTAAGATAATGCCTATAATCCTAGCACTCGGAAGGCGGATGCAGGCGGCTCATGGACTCAAGGCCAGCACACCCTGGGCTACATGAGACTCTGTCTCAAAACCAAACCAAATGAAAACGGTTTTCACTAGAAAGCTCTCCCCTCTGGAAGGAAATCCTGGTAGACTCACAGCCACTTTCTAATCAAATGTTAACGCCTATAATATTGCTTACTGAACACTTGTGCACCCTACAGAAGGTGCCAAGCGCTCGGAGATTCAAAGTATGAGCTAGACCACAGACTTGGGAGGACACAAGCATTGTGTGAGAAGCTGACAAATTAACTTGGCACCGCCATTCTAGCCATGATGAACTGTGGAGCGGGAAACCATTCCCGGCCAACCATATTGTGCCTGCCACATGCTCACTGCTAGGGTACAGCCATCCTACCAACAGTGCAGAGCCTCTGTCTGTACTAAAGTCCCGAGGGAGAGCCAGCATACATCCGCAGGTAAAGACGCTCAGTGGAAACAGAGGGAGAAACTAACATAAGAAGTGCTCGTACTGAGATCGCAGTGTGTGCTGACTTGCTGAATTTACACAGTCCGGGGACAGTCAGTCAAAGGGGGCAGCAAGACTTCGGGACCCACCTCTGTCCGTATTGGGAATTCCCAGGTCCACGGTAGGAATGGGACTTTCTGCGAAGTCGCTGTAGTATTCAATAAGGCTTGCCTGTGCCGCCCATGTCTTCTTGACGATGGGGACTGGAAATACAGCAGAGGGGACTATCACAGGCATGACACACAGAAGTGAGAGTTTAAATGGCAGCGGGACCCCACAGAGAAGCAACACTCACTCTTCCTTAGTGTCCCAAGGCTCAGTGTTTACTCTGCACTGCAGGCAATGCCAGGGTTGTCTGCTGATGACCTGGGACTTGAACCCTCTACCTGACGTACTGGTGCCGGCCCCTCGTGCGCACATCCTGCTTCACCTCCAGGTAATAAAACGGTGTCTTGATAATACCGCTTTGTTTAGATGAACTGTGAATCATTTCTCTTTTTCCAACAGGTTACTTACTGGTCCATACATGGATTCTTAAAATATTTTTGGAAGCTGGAAAGGTGGCTCGGTGGTTAAGAGCCCTGGCTGCTCTTAGAGAGGACCTGGCTTCAGGTCCCAGCACCAACATGGTGGCTCACAACTGTCTGCAGCTCTAGTTACAGGAGATCTGATGGCCTCTTTTTGCCTCCTTGGGCACCAGGTACCCATGTGGGGCACATACATCCATGCAGGGAAAACACTCACACACATAAAATAAAATAAATGTAAACTGTATTTTGTGTGTATGTGTACAGGCATGTGTACGAGATATGCGTGCATGCTTGTGTGAGTGTGTGCATCTGTCGGCACAGAGATAAGTGGAGGCCTTGGGGTGCCCTCATCCATTTTTTCTTACATTTTCTGAGGCAGGGTCTCTCACTGAGCCTGGAGCTCATGTTATTCAGCTAGGCCACATGTTCAAACACGTGAGCCTATGGGAGACATTGTGCATCCAAACTTTCCTCTACAGAATAAAATCACACTGAATCAAAGAAGTTTGCCATAGAGTTATTTTAAATTGGAGCAGAGTAAAAATTTATGATTCAAAAGTCATTATTCAAAAGAAGAAGAAGAAATCTCAGTAGCGCAGGTAGTATAAATCTTTCTGGAGTCAGTGGAAGACATATCTCACTGGCAGGGACAGCAGAATAACCCACTTTACCCCATGAATTAACTTGCAAAATTGCCTCTTGTGACAGGTGACATTTGAACATTTTATAAACGTTCGATCCATTAAGTGTGAACGTGCCGCACAGTCAAGAGTGAGGGGGCCGTTCCGATTCCGAGGAATTCACTATTACCAACTGACAAATGGCCCCTTTTCTCCAGGTGTGAGTCAGTGGCCACAATGGGAAGTCCTGGGGTGTCTTTCTTCCCCAGAGAGTGTTAAAGACACACAAGTGTGTCAATTCTTTGTTTTTTAAAGACTTCAGTGGGCCTAAGCTGGAAATCCATCCTTCCCAGCTGATCAAAAGCAACGCTTGGAACATAGTCAGCCATTCCACAGCCAGGTCGGGTCCAGCAACATGTGACTCCCCTCAGCCAGTTCACACTTCATCCCCTTGTCTGCTTGGCCTCCCACAGTGGGGGGGGGGGGTGCGGCATTTTAACGCAAGCCTCGCCTTGTCAGGAAGCCGGTTTGTGTCCCGGTACCTGGGGCCTCCTTCATCAGAGACGGCAGCTATGACACTGTCTAATAAAAGCCGCTCAGATTTGCCTCCTCTGGACAAGATCACGGCAGGAAAGACAGCAGATGGGTTTCTTCCTTTTCTTTTTCTTAATCTGGAAGCCACAGTGTTTGTTTTTAAGATCTGGGGCAGGCTGTGAAAAAGGCCTAATGGCTGAGGAAATCACACTTAACCTTCTTAATTAGAGGGAGCCCACAGGAGACCATGTCACACCCCATCTAACGTGATGAACCAGAACTGCCTACTCCAGGAATGTGGGACACGCGCGTGCATGCACCACAGAACGATGCCGAGAAAACGGAAGGGGTTCTGACAGCTCACATCGCAAAGTGAAGACCCCGTAACCCAAGAGGAAGTCATTGAGATGCATATTAAAAACCAGGGATCTTTTCCCTACTCACATGCTTCAAATGGTGTCAACACGTATTACTCCTTAGAGCCAAAAAAAAAAAAAAAAAGTAAAACACTTTTTGCTATGTTCCGAGAACTTGATATTCTATTTCTGTCAGAATCCAGGCAAATTCGGCAGCAGTGCTCTTTCATGGTTAGGGATACATGTAAAATCGGTAAGATATTTGAACTTGGTCTTGTGATCAGTTCATCATGATGATCTAAAAATATGAATTCCTTGTACATTAACCCTTGTCATCCTTTCCCTCATCCTCTTCCATGGAGGTGATGCAAGGTCATGAAGCAGGTGGGCTCGCAAGGAACAGCGTGGCCCACTCTCAATTTTTCAAAAATACGGTTTCTTATCTGGTTTATATATTTTTTTCCTCCCCTTCCCTGCCATTTGGCCTTTGTTCCTTCAAGGATCTCTGCCCCAGAGAACAGGAAAAGAGGAACACCCGTCCCTCCCCCTGCGCCTTCTGCTTGGACAGAAACATGCTCTGACGGGGCCCACCCAGTGTGTGCTACGGGCCACGTGTGGGCTTCAGCGCCTTGCTGTCCTTCCTCATGGCCACTGCAAAGGCAAGGCCTGCTTCCACAGCTTCTGTCCAGCCCCTAACTGGCTTGGAGCATAGCCAGGCAGCGATGTGACTATCAAAGACAATTTATCACGTGGGGTTTGTAATATACTGCATGGAGCACAGTCAGGCTAGAGCGAACTCCCAAGTACTACCTCGTGTTCTCCATGGCGGCAGAGCAGCAGTGGAGGTCCACTAAGGGAACGCCGCCGTCACCTCCGAGCCAGAAGAACCGAGTGTCCCTGGGGCTGGAGTGACAGCTCTGTGGTTTACAGCACTGGCTGCTCTTGGCTCTATTCAATTCCCAGCACCCACACGGCGGCTCACAACCATCCTAACTCCAGTTCCAAGGAACCCGATGCCCTCCTTCTGACCTCCCCAGGCACCGGGCATAAAATAAAGAAATAAATAAACCACAGAATCTACCTCTGGATGGAGACATGCCATTGTCTCCTCCAATGGGGCAGGTAAAGACCCACCCCTCAGGGAGACAGGGTCACCTTCAGGCATGCTAAAGAGTGGGAGGAATAAGTATCCCTTTAATAAGACAGCGTCCTCTTCTGTCCCAGAATTCCTGCCCCGCACAGTCATTACAGGCCTCCCTGGGAGCTCCTGCTGGGTCTGCCCACCTTCAGGAAAGTGTAACGTCTCTTTCTACTGTTCTCCTTTCTCCAGATGCTGGCTGGAGCCCAAGCGTGCTTTCGCTGGTACTCCGGATTTCTCACGCTTTTCCTAAAGCCCCCTCCCTGGCACGGCTCCTTCTCCATCACGTGGCTGGCCTCCATGCCTACTCAACTCAATGCCATGGCCTCTTCGCTGTCTCCCACATCCGGGCAGTGCCAAGACCTACAGCTTGCCTGCTCTGCAAGTTTCATTTTAAACACTAATTAAACTGTCTTGGGGCTTCTGCTTATGTCTGTTCTTAAATTCTTTTATTAATGAGCCTAAGAACCCCAAGAGGGGACCCCGGTTTCCCTGGTAACATGTGGTGACTGTCACAGGACTCCCCCACATTTCTGCTAATAAGAGGCCATGGGATGTAGATCATCTGTCTCTACAAAATCAAGGGTATCACAGTTATTGTCATAGCATAAGGAACTATCAACATAAGATCAGATTAGTGAATGGCTTCAATACACACACACACACACACACACTGAGAGAGACAGAGAGACAGAGAAGAGGAGGAGGAGGAGGAGAAAGAAGAAAGAATTATGGCATTGTCTGTCACTGACAGGATAACTGGTCAGCCTGTGAGCCAACTGGTGGCTAGATTAGCATTTTTTTTTTTTTTTTTTTTTTTTGGTTTTTCGAGACAGGGTTTCTCGGTGTAGCTTTGTGCCTTTCCTGGAACTCGCTTTGGAGACCAGGCTGGCCTCGAACTCACAGAGATCCGCCTGGCTCTGCCTCTAGATTAGCATTTTTAACCAATTATTTTTATTATCTTTAAATTATATGCGTGCATGTATACCTGCATGTGGGTAGGTGTACATGAGTGCCAGAGGTGTCAAATCCCCTGTGAGCTGACTGACATGGGTGCTGGGAACAAACGCAGGTCCTCTGGGAGAGCAGTGCATGCTTTTAACCTCTCCAGCCCTGGACCGGGTTTAAAGGAGATGTGCAGAGCCCAGTGGCCAGGCAGGCTTTGCTTCCATCCAGCAAAGGGAGGAACCGATCTCGCCACAAAGCTGCCTTCACAAACCAAGGCATAGAAGTTGGAAGTCAGCTTACTGCAGAAACCCACGAGCGAAACCTTCACTCTGAGGTCTTGTGTCTCAGTCACCATAGATCCAGAAATGAATTTTTAAGATTTTTATAATTTCAAAAAATGTTCAAACTCTAAATCCAAGCATAAAAGCATTTCACAGATATCTGGGGAAAAATAATCTCAATCTTAAAGAAATAAGAAAACTAAATTATTCAAAATTCACAACTCAAAATGAACAAGCATACACTTCTGTAGATTATGAAAAATACAACAGGCGGGACTTTTAATTATTTTCTGTTTCATTATCATCTGAAAAAAGCTTTAAAGCAAAAATTACAGTGTCATCTCTTACTATCCACATATTTTTTTAATTTATTTATTATGTATTCAGAGGGCACCAGATCGAATTATAGATGGTTGTGAGCCACCATGTGGTTGCTGGGAATTGAACTCAGGACCTCTGGAAGAGTAGCCAGTACTCTTAACCTCTGAGCCATCTCTCCAGCCCCCTATCCACATATTTTTAACATCAATGTTGCAAAAATAATCACTGTTCTAAGAGTGGCTTCAAGATCAACTAGATCAACATAAATATTTTTGCAGAAAAACAAAATTTTAAAAAAATCTAGTGCGTTTATCTATCACCTTTTCTCCAATTTTTTAAAAGATTTATTTGTGTGTGTGTGTGTGTGTGTGTGTGTGTGTGTGTGTGTGTGTGTGTGTGTGTTTGCCTACGTCTGTGCATCGTGTGCATGCAGTGCCCATGGAGGCCAGAAGAGGGCGCCAGATCCCCTGGAACTGGAGTTACAGATGGTTGTGAGCTGCCATGTGGGTGCTGAGAAACTGAACCTGGGTCCTCTGGAAGAACAGCCAGTGCTCTTAACTATTCCAGCACCTCAAAGGTATTTTTTTCAAAATCACCTTACAGAGCCCTTCCAATTACTAAATTGAGGTTAAATTTATGATTAAATAAAAGTCTTATTTCAACTCCTTTATTGATTTTTAACAGTATGTGAGCCTCCTTGCATAATAAATACATATATTTACTCAGCCAGATTTAATAGATTTGGGATTTGACATGACAAGTTTAGGCAAGTCTAAAGATATGATTAATGTACTTTTACTGGTTTTTAATTGGTGATGATGTCATAGGTCACACTATAAATCCAAATTAGGGCATTCTTTCATTTAAAAACATCTTCTCCCTTAAAATATGTGGATTGCATTATTGCATAAAATGTACACAAATTTCCCAACACTCATGGTCATGGGTCCAATCCCATGACCATGACGGCTGCATTAGGAAGCTTCCTATATGTACATGACACCCTGTGCAATCGAATCATTCTTCATAAAATGTGCTAAAATTAGAACATGCAAAAGAATGTTTGGTTCTGGGCATCAGAAAGTGTTGATTCAAATGAAACATAAAAAGAGGAATTGTGCCAATTATATTTGGGATGGATCTTTTAACATTGTCCCTACAACTAGCAAAACTCTATAATGAAACAGCAGAAATGAAGAAAACAACATTTATCTGCACACCAGGGTTTCCGTACATCAGGCCATGGTTTCTAAAGTGACTTTCCCCCCCCTCTTTTCCAATACAAATACTCGATGAGCAAATCCGTGGACCTTCATTAAAAAGTACCAATGTGCACATGTAAAATAAATACAAGAGGAGATTTTCTTGTGGGGATTGTATTACCTTGGAAGCCCCTCTGGTAGTCTCCACACGGTTCAGACACTGAGCCTGCACACAGTGGGACCCTTTACAGAACAGACTATCATCCACACACCAGCTCCAAGGCTGCCACAGCTGGGTTTCCCATTGTCAATTTAAGGTGCTGATCTCAATATTAGAAGGGCTGTAACCATTCACACTTCAATACAAAATTGCCTCTCCTAAGTGATCTCTCAGGGATTGGAGCGGCCCAGCAAAGAATCTGATTAAACAACCACTTTCCCAGCCGGGTGGTGGTGGTGGTGGTGGCGGCGGCGGCGGCGGCGGCGGCGGCGGTGGCGCACGCCTTTAATCCCAGCACTC